CTCTGTGCAGATTTAAATGAACAGAGGAATGTGGAGACTTGCACTGTTAGGGTGAGACTGACATTTGCTGACAGCAAAGGAAAACAAAGCTCCCTTAAGAAAAAAAATTAGCAGCAAAAAGCTGCAATTAAAAAGAAACCAGAAAGCCAGGAATTTTCTTCTCTGAAAGAGTGGTGAGGCTTTGGAATGGGTTGCCCAGGGAGGGTGGTGGAGTCCCTGGAAGTGTTCCAGAAATGACTTAATGCCATGGTTTAGTGGACATGGTGGTGTTTGGTCAAACGTTTGACCTGATGATCTTGGAAGTATTTTCCAACCTTAGTGATTCTATGGCTCTGTGCATCTGTAAATGGGTTATTCAAGCTGCTCAGCCTCTGGGCAGTTCCTCTTCTCCACTCAAGACCATTCAGAGCATCAGTTTTTAACAGGCCATGTTTAAATTTTAGTTTTTACTTTTACCGAATACCAAACATGAAACAGAATTTCAAAACTCAAAAAAATAGACTGACTTGGCAGAAACTTGTAATGTTTCCTCCCCCAGAAGGACCCCATAGACCTGAAATTTCACAGTCAGGCCCATTTATGGTATTTTTCATCCATAAAGCACCCTGAGGAATTATAAAAAGTTGACGTGCCTTTTAAATTGGATTTCCTTCAAAATAGTGTCATGACTTTCCTCTGAGAAGCTGCACATCCCATGTCAGAGATAGTGGAAAAGTCTAGGAAGACTAAATCTCCCTGGAGGGAATATTTCTAGATGTTTCTGCATAGAAAAGACATGAAGTTACAGAGAAAAAAAAAAAAAAAAAAAAAACAAAAAAACCAAAACACCAAGAGCTGTTAAGAGAAGAAATAAAATTTCATCTCACAGCCTCTCAGATTGTTAAAACCTTGTGAAAAAATGGCTTGGGTTTGTTTGGAAAGTGATAATATGCATGACCTGAATTTGTATAGTCTATTACCTTGGGTTTTACTGAGCTTAGCTGTTGGATGTAGCTGCTTCTTTCATGCAGATAATCTGTTTTCTCAATGTTCTTCCATGCAACTTGATGCAGACACTGCCTGCCATTAGCAGTCTCATAAAAATATTCTTTATGCCTCTTTGAAAAGTCCTTCTTTCTCCTCTTAAAGGAAAAGCAGTGCACCATCACCGTCCTGCTGGTGATTTTGCAGCCACCCTTTATCTCTGTTTCAGGTGTTCCTGTGTGGAACTCTGCACAGCAGCCGTGGCTGGTTGTTGTTTTCCTCCTGTAAATTTATTCTGTCTGTCTGCCTGGAGCTTAGGCAAAGCAGGGCCTCATAAATCAGGCAGTGCTCACTTCACTTAAAGCAGAGTTCAAACGTTCTGCAGCTCGTGTTCCTGCTGGGATTTTGTCCCCTTCTCCCTGAATTTACCCCAAAAGCTGCAAAAGTTGTGTTGGCTGCTGGTGCAGGGGAAGGGGAAGGGGAAGGGAAGGGAAGGGAAGGGAAATCAGGGGAAACACAACCTGGAGAGAACAGAACGTGCCCAAAATGAAATCCAACCTCAGGCTGGGTCCCTCAATCTCTGTGGTGGGACAGAAAACACAAACCACACAAAGCCATCCAGGAAGAGATGAGATACCCCACCCTCATTGCAACCATCTTCAGGATCCAAAGCACCTGAGGAATCTCTGCTTGATTAGGTGCCTCATTAAAGCAAAACATATGGTTTCCATGTATTTAAATTAAGGAATTTATTAAAAAAAAAGCCAAAAACCCCAATCAAAACAGTGGTTTGATCTAAATACAGCAGCACTGTGACATTACTAGGACATTATGTACGAAGAATCCAAGCAGCCATAGAACACAGAAGCCTTTATCTTCAGTAACAATCTCAAAATGAAACTAGCTTCATCAAACAATGTTAAAGATCTCCCTGGAAAGAGAAACAAAACCAAACAGACCCTCCCCACCCCTAACCCCTTGGATATTAGAATGACTTTTTTTTGTACAATATCAACAGCCACTAGCTCTTCTAATTGAGAACACTTGCTTTAATTTATTACAAAAATGATCTGTTGACTCAGTTATGAAAGACAACTTTTAACATTGCTTTAGAAGTGTCTGCTCCTCTTATAGACTACAGTATTAGAAGTGCTTAAAAACATTTACTCCTGGATATGCTCTTGAAATTCAATCAGAAGGATTTTCTGTGTGTGTTTATATACCAAATATGATTTTTAATTTTTAAAGCAGGTGAAAAGACTAACCCTAATATGAAACTGCAATTTTACAATTTAATTATTAGTCAGATATGGGCAACCACATGATAGTTCATGAAATCTTTAGGTCTATCTACATTGCTCAGAAACACAAAATAAAGTTTTTACAGCTTTCAGCTTCAAAAGGCTAAAATGTTCAGTCTTTTAGAAGAGTGTCCAGTGTTTAAAAGAAATGCAATTAAGGGAGACCGCATTCAATACACATGAAACAACTCATTTGAGCTTGCTAATTAACATATCCAACAGCTGCATGTGGGGTGATGAGAAAGGAAAACACATTTGCCATCCAGCCACTACCTGAGATGTTTCTTGTCTGGGAGTGAATCTTCTCTGCAGGACCACTCCAGAAATCCTGGAGCTCCCCTCTGCAGCCCACGGACCCCAGGCACTTTTCCTCTTTTTGCCTCTTTTGCTTCCAGACCCAGATCCACGTTTGGGACTTCACACAGCACCTCTCTCAGTGGGTGGATTCCCAGGGAATCCTTTGCAGGCATGGCCAAAAAAGCTGAACCAATGAATGTTGTTTTGCTCCCCTCCTCATAACTATTTATCTCCATTCTAGGAACAGAGGAAGTGTCTCCATGTGAATGCCACACTCACTGGCCAGCTCTTCAGCAAGAAATGAATGCTTTAAACATTTGCACTGCCACCTCTTTGTCTGCTGGAGATGTCTTACAGAAGTGCAGTTTGTTCTGTTTCAGTATCTCTAAGGAGCTAAGACAAACCAATAATAAAAGAGTCCTAATTTAGGAGAGTGTCTCACTAGTCATGTAAATAAAGAGTAGCTACACTAAGCCTACTTCATTTAAATAATAATACGAAGACTTGATACTGATCTGGTTTATGCACAGACTCCAAAGTGCTTTCCATTGACAGACCGAGAGCATCCTTCCGTGTTTGGGAATGGGAAAACAAAATTGCACCGAGGTTTGCCCAGGGCAGTGAAGAAAAACACAGCCAGAAGAGGAATACAAACCATCACTCCTGGCTCCAGTACATACAGCAAGGAGAATACATATGTGCCAGCAGTAATATTCATGTTAATGAATAGGCAGCAATCTGTTTAAAATTGCTTCTTTCATAAAGCCCATTTGTCGGTACAGCAGCTTAGCTGATCCAACTGCAGCAGATTGTATTTGTATTATCACAGAGACATTTGGGGGAGGTCAGCCCATAATACTGTAGCATATTGTTGGCTTTCACCTTCTTTGATGAAATTTTTTCTTTTCCCCAAAGGAAATAATTTAAAAATCCTCTGAACCAATTCCTTTATCTTTTCAGTTTTTGCATTTAAGGAAAGACAATTATTACCAGCCAGCACTTTAATATTATTTAGTATAAAAGGAAGTGTGTCCTGCCCAGCACACAGGAGGGATGTTTTTAAATGATGCAGACTTTCTCTCAACTCTAACATGAGGGTGTTAGTAATTATTGTCCTTACTCTAAATCTTTAGGATTATTTTAAGTTAAACGTCATATTTGTGAAAGGCTTGAGAAAGACAACTCTGGAACTTCCTGATTTCCATGGAGCCACTGAACATTTGATTCTTCCAGAATTCACTGCCAAAGGAACCTCCCTGCAGCCTGAGACAGACTGGGACCATCCCGGGGCAGGAGAGCCTTGGAGTGAGGACTTGAGCTCCTGCAGGCTTCCACATGATGGAAGATGGTCCACATGCCAAGAGACAGAAAGGATGTTCTTCCAAAGAAAAATCCAGTCTTTCCAAGGTTGTATGGGAGATGCCTGATGAATTAACTCCTCTGCAGTGATTAACTTCAGTGAATATGACAAATATTAACTGAACAAATCAATGATCACAACTAATTGTGGAGCAGGGGTGCAAACACCAACATCTTGCTCACAACGGAGCCCGTTCCTGTCCCGTGGACGTTGGTGAGGAGCAGCAGCTGTGCTCTGGGGCTGTGCATTTATTGCTCTTCCAGGACAGCCTGTGCAGGGAGCTCCAGGCTGAGGCTGGGTGCACAGGCCTGGCTGATGCTGGGGGATTCCTGCTTGCCCCATCCAGCTGTCCCCTCTGACCTCAGAGGGACAACATTGTCCTTGAGCCATGGGCCAGCCCTTGTGTGTGCCACCCCCAGGTCGCTGCAGGAACTCTGGCCAGCACATGGTGGCCCCAAGGAAGAAGGTGCAGCAGTGAGGTGTCACTGCACCCCTGCTGGAGATCTACACCCCGTGGGACTTCACAGCCTGTCCTCCAGAGCTCACGGCTTCCGTGTCCTCCTCACCCTGCCTGTGCTTTTACCACTGATGCAAGTTCATTTCCTGCTGGTTCCTTCAGCTGAGGCATGGCCACTGAATAAGATCAACTGGATTGGAAATGTGAGCAGAGAATTCAAGCTGGATCCTGAGGTTTGGGTGAATGACCGTAAGAATCTGTGTCTTCAAATCTGGTGCTTTACTGGGTCAGCCAAGTTTGATTCCTACTGCTGATGGCACTCCCAGCTGATGGCTGCAAATTGAGGAGGTACCAAGCTGTGTTTATGGAGAGCTGCTTTGTCTCTGAGCTGGCAGGAACCAGCAGGGCCAGGTGAACACTGAGATATTGAATTCTGCAGCTCCCTAACACTCACTTTGATCTGCACTACCTGCTTGGTTTGATTATCTTCACACCTTTCCCAGCTTCACAAGCAGGTTTTTGCTCAGAAACAACATCTGAGTCATGGCCTTTCTTGTGAAAAACCTCTTTTTAGATAATCCAGGTCAAGAGTGCACATCTAAGAGTTTGTTATTTTTTTCCCCTTCATTATTCATTTGTTTAAAAAAAAGCCTCACATCCAACAGTGGGAAAAAATGCTACAAGACTCAAATGAACCTTGAGACACTGTAGGAAATGAATAGCAAACACCTGACTCATGAAAGTCTGTCAACTAATTAGTGTTCATCAGACTCCTCAACAAAGATTTAAAAATAAAAGGCGTGCTTGCATAATTCAGGATCAGATTGCAAATGATTTCTGATTCTTAAAAAGAGCTAAGTTTGCTCATCTGTCTATTTAAAACAAGCAACCAGATCTGAGCATATGCATTTTTTGGAAAGAATTTGGATGCTAACTGAAGAGGACATAAAGAAAATGAATCAGTCTGGAAAGCTATTACAAAACTACTCCTTTCTACTCCTTTGTTACCTGCAGACCCACCTCAAAATTCACCTGGAGTCAAAATACTAAAAATCTTATTGCAAATGCTCTCCGAGGTTGTATGACAAAACTGTAAGTTTTTTTTCAGAGTTCCCAGTGGTTTTTAAATTTGACTCCATGGAGCCAATGGCCAAATGCCTGTGGAAGCCTGGCTGAGCAGGGCACTGCCTGGACAGGGCTTCAGCCCTGAGTTCTGGGCCCAAACTGCACCTGGTCACACTATGGAAGTGCAAGGACTGTGCTCCTACTCCAGCTCTGAGTGCAAGGTAAGCTGAAAAAAAAATAAAAAAAAAGCCCAACAAAATTAAGAAGGAATAAACAAGAAATCCTGCAGGTTTTGTTGTTGTAGGCAAACCACGACAAGGAGATCCCTAGGACTGGTCATTAGCACTTCTGATGGATTTTAAGCCTTCCAGGGCTGGGGGCTGAAAAGTTCTGCTGCCCCAGCATGGTAATACTGTTTGTAGTTTGTAGAGACACTGCAGGGATGAAATCTCTGTCTGCTGGTGGTGTTTTGTGTCTCTCCCCTTCCTCTCTCACTGCTCCAAGGAGGTGGGATTCAGAGGGGCTCCATCCCAGGCTTGGTGCCTCCAGGTGCACAGCAGCATCCTTCTTCCATGCCATGAGAATTCAGGATACCCAGCCCTAGCATCACACCCTGCAGGCACCCAGGGAGAATGAATGCTCTCACCCTTCCAGGACTCTGCCAGAGCCCCAGAGCTGCTCAGTGAGTGCTGGCCTGCCTGAAAGAACAGCAGGACAAGGCACAAATGCTGTCATTCACTGCTGTCCCTAAAATGTCATCCACCACAGGGTAAGGCTGGGAGCATCTAAAAGGTATAACCAACATTTGCAGTTTGTTCACCAGCTTTCAGTAAGGGATTGGCTGGTATTTCTCAATACTGGGAGATGGTGAAGAATGAAGATTTTAGTCTTCACATGCCAAACTAGCAACATCTCTAAAATCCTGCATCTTCTATAAGATCTGCAATGCCACCATCTGACATGGGAGAATGGCTGAAGCCTCATCTCCCTGTCTTGACTCTTCTCTGTCAGCTGCTCTATGGAAGTCCCTGTTTTGTCCCTCTGTCTCACAGCTTCAAGCTGCTTTGCTATGTCATTCCTGTGTGTCTCTCACTCAGGGATTTGCCACCACCAACCTTCATCCTTTTCCCCCTCAGCACTGGCCACACAGAACATGCATGTGGCAGTCTAATGAATTTTGGTCATTAACACTCCCACTGGAATATCACTTCCTTGGACCCTGGGGTAGCTCCACTGCTGGCTAACAGGATTTTAAACACACCAGGGTGGCTTTCAGATGCTCCTGATGACCCAAAGGTTTAAAAAATTCAGTATAGTCTAGCCAACATTGTAAGGAGTATGGGGAACCCACACACCCTACAGAACACTTTGGGCTGCAGTTGTGGGCACAAAGGATTTCCAGCTCCTGTGGAAGGGAAGGTACCCTATTTTTTGGCCTGGTGTTCTTAACAATAAGAGTGAAATACTTGAGAAGAGCCTGATTCTGATGCCTGAGGTACTGCTACTGATCCTGCCTGATCTGCTCATCCTAGTGAGGCAGAATTTTTGTCAATGGTTAAAGGATCCTGGACAAAGAACGATGGAGCTGGGAGTGGGAGTTATTATTTCATGCTGGCATTTCATTCAGTCGAGGGTCTAATTGAGGGGATGTGTCAGGGGGTGTTTGCATGACACATGGCAGTATTTTAAGTGCAGGCACAGCCTGTGGGTTCTGCTACTGCCCAAAAGCAGCTCAGATCCCACCCCGAGCCTCCACAGCTCAGCCCCACAAAGCTGTCACAAATCTCACGGTTGGCACAAGCCAGACTGCTGAACATCCCTCCTGCTGCCTCTTTGATGTGGGCAGCTGTGGAAAGACCTTGGGCTTTTGACTGCAGCATGGAGAACACTTTGAGTTTTGCTCTCCTTTCAGCAGGTGCAGGTTTGAAGTCCTAGAAAAAGAAATGGACGTTTGCTATCCTGGTCACCTCTCCCTCAGCTTTGTTCTGCCTGCTGCTACAAACAGCACAAACACTGGTGAAGGAAAAGAGCTTAAAACAGGGCTCCCTGTCTAACGAAAAAGCCTTTGATGGAGCAACAACATAAGTGCAAATCTCAGCTGGGCTGGTCCCAAGACATCACAAACCATCAGCATAGCAAGTAGCATTTTTGAATGCATCAAAATCCTGTCTTTTAGCATTTAATGCGAGACATTACAAACTAATGAAGAGGAGAAATGTATGCAGTGTTGCTGTAAACCAAATATACAGATGTAAAATAATTAAGAATAAACTGTTCCATAAAAATGCATGTCAATAAACCCCCGTGTGATAAAGTGATTTATGAAGAATTTTCTAGAATTGCTAAAAAGAATGATTTCTCGTTTGAGGCTCTGGAAGTCTTGAGTCACATTTTGTTTCTTTTAAAAAAATGTCTTAAAACACATGGCTTTACAGCTGCTGCTTGGAAAATATACACCTCCAAAGTCTGACTTTCATTTAAATACAAATGTACAAAATGTAAACTGAGACAATAGAGAAATTTACAAAACTTTTCTTTAAAAATAATAAAGACAAAATTCAGTTCTAGTATGATGCTATTTAAATACGTGCAAGTAGTCATGTTCATTGAATTTCTATTGCAATGTTCTAAAGAGACAAATTTGATTCACACAGTCTTGAGTGCCACCTCCAAAAACAGACCTGAGTGGAAATTTCTTCTTAAAATGTGAGGCTCCACTGGAAGGAATGGATAGAAAATCTCCATTTTGGGAGATCCAGATTTTCTTTCTCTTCACTCAACGGTGGAGGCTCTCTCATCCACAGAAGCTCCAGAGATTATAGTGGAAGGATGCAACATGTTGTTTCATGGGACTGAGCTGGAACTAGCTGCTTCCAGTGGAGTTTGAACTTACGTGATTTGAATTTATGTGATGATTTAAACTGGCCTTTGAATTTGGAGAACTCTTTGAATTGTTCTGATGCTGTAGGAAGAGGAAGAAAATGACAATTAGATTTCCATAATACACTATGGTTTTATTTTTGATCGAGTATTTTTCATTTTATGATACTGGCTGGGCTGCAAGATTCTTGTTTGAAGATCTTCAGATGGAAAATATTCTTCATTTTCCTACCTGTAGTCTCTCTAGGTCAGCAGAACCACGGCAGTTCTTGAGCAATGCAGCAAAGACGATTTGCTCCAGCTCCAGGAGCCAAATCAATTCACTGCAAAATGTCAATATCTGCTAAATCTGACTAATACAGAGGGTACCTGCCAATGCTCAGGCATGGCTTTAACCCTACAGAAATAGCCCAGTCTAAGAATGTTATTGACATTTGCAAGTGGTGCCTTGGTGTCTCATGAAAGCTGCACATCATTTTTTATCCAGGCTGCTCTCTTCTTTATTATCTTGCTTTCCTCCCTCAAAATGTGCATTTGCCTTTTTATTTTTTAAACACATAAATCAAGGATTTATGTGTTCCTTTTCACAAGGAACTTCTTGAAACCATAGAACAGTTTCAAAAGGCTATTTCAGCATACCCCTGAAAAACAGGTGGGTGAGAAGTTTTCAACTGCTGGAAACAAAACTCATGGGCAACAATGGAACTGCTGGTGGCAAAAATCACACAGGGTAGATGAAAAACTTGAGATATGGAGGAAAATGTGAGAGCCAGCCCTCTCAAAGATGAACTGCCCTTCTCCTAGCACAAATATCACCAGAACAGGGCTGAAAAAAGGTATCTACAGGAGCTTCCTGGTCTCAGTCATAAAAGATCTCACCTGTCGCTTAAATATTCTCTGTAGCAATCCTTTCTTGGGTGGCTCTGGGGGGTAGCTTTTGTTTAGGTCTGGTGAAATAGTACCATTTGGTCCAAATACATTCAGCTCCTTGAAGCACTCTGTTTCTATCATCTAATGGAATATATATAGAGAGAGAGAAAAAAAGGGAATTATTCATCTGCACTAAATAAATTCCAGTAGTGCTAGGTTCTTCAAAGTCAGCAGTGTGTGAGGAGAGTTAACAGTTGGATTCCTGCTGGTGTATTTGAGAGCATGAAAAGCAGAGGCTGAGTCTGCTCTGTGTGTTTGTACATCAGGCTTGTCAGAAGCTGCCCCACAAGACTTTCTGTTCTTTCCTTCAGCATTGCAGAGAATACCAGGCAGAGACAGGCACACTTACACAATCCCAGTTATTAGCAGCCCTCTGCCCAAGTGGATCTGCTGTTTGATGCAGAGCTGGATTCTGAAATCCACTGCTGGCTGTGTTTTGATGCCAAGCAGAAACAAAGATCCAGGCATGGGAATGCTGGAGGAGCTCAGGTTGCAGGGTGAACTGCTGCAGACAGTGGGTGACAGCAGGGTCACCAGAGGAGGATCCTTAAGGATTTCCAGCTGAGCCACAGAAGGGGCTGAGAGCTGCCCAAACACCTCTGCAGAAACCCAGGAGGAGGAAGTACAGTAGGATCCTTGCCAATTCACACAAACACACAGAGCCAACAGATACAGTCACCTGAACCTGACATCTGTGCTACATTACAGATCTTGAAAGAGGCCATTTGTAACTCATGAAAGCATTAGAGTCTGGCAAGTTGTCCAGTAGCTATATATTACTGGAACATAGAGCTCCTCTTAAATCGTCTGTGTTACGGGCTTTATTGCAGTAATTTTGCTATGATACATCCTTACCTCATTTTGCCATGGAATAGACACCGATCCTGTGGAAAACTTGGAATAGAAATCGTCATCTGTTTGGTCCAGGTTAACTCCTTTCACTGTGGAGAACTGCTCAATGTCTAACACATCCTTGCAGTACACTGCTCTGGGCTATATCAGCAGAAAAAAAAAGGAGAAATGACAAGAGGAAAAATATTTCTGAGTCGGACCATGTGCTTTCATTCACAGATTCAGTCAAGTGAGAATGTCTAACAAGTGTGTGTCTGCATCCTCCTTCTCCAGGCTTGCTCTGCCTGCATGTTTATCATCAAAGGCTGACTTCACTTTAAGCACATTAAGCTTCCTATTCCAAAGTCCTCAAAGCATCAGTCAAAGGGGGTTTTAGTCATCCATGTACCATCTGGTTAAGAGGTGAGGGGAAAAGGACAGAAAGAGCCAGAAAAGAAAAATGGAACCCTTCAGCAGTCTTTTCATTTAGAGAGGGAACAACAGAAAACCAGAATGTTCACCAGTGGCACTCTGAGAGAGCCCTGGAAAGAGGCCTCAGATAGAAAGTGCCCTCCTGCCCAGATAGCTGTGGAGTTTGCAGCTTGGAAGTTTAAAGGAATGCATCCTAATTGCTAAAGAAAACAGAGGAGGTTTGGCACTTTTCCATTGTTTTTATTAATAGCTCAGCTGCTGGAAGCTGCCCAGAATTACCTCTATTAACTCTTTTAACTTGGCTGCATTTCCTCAAAGGAACAGTCAAATGGCTTTGCCTTTTGGAACCACTCAGTTTTCGGGGATGACAGAGACAAAGCTCTCTGCAGTGATGAAACTTTCAGCTCTATATTTCAGCAGTCAGCCCCAGGGAGCAGAAAGATCCATCAGTGGCTGCCTGTCACAGGCAGTGTGTGTGCCCAGGGATCTCCCACCCTTTGGTGTGCAGGGATCACTGAGGGGTGGCTTGTGGGACCAGCCTGGACCCCAGCCCATGTGGAATCCTGCTGTCTGTCCCTGCTACCAGGACTGCACAGCCAGGGTGTGCAGCACTTTATTGATCTGGTTCTCAGCACTGTGACCAAACAAATTGACCTAATTCCTGACAGAAGTCCTGTTTGCTGGAGGCTGTATCCCTCTGCATTCCTGACAGCTGCAATCCAATTTTTGTAGAGGAGGATGGAGAGACATGGTTTGGATAACAACTTCTGCCATTGGCTATATAGCTTTGGGTGATTCAGCTGACTTCAGTAAAGACTGGGAGATCTATGGATGAAGTGCCAAATAAATTAAATTAGGGGCAGCTCTCGAGCTCCCAATAAAGAGCCATAAAAATTTATGTGCCTTTGCTTTTGCAAATATGCCTCTAAGAGGTGCCTTCTAGGCCTTACGTGCCACGGTTTTTATGCACTCTGGCGGATCCCAAATTTGAGCCCAGAATTTTATAATTTTCTACATCAGAAAGAAATAGTAGCTTGTCTCTTATTTCTTCCCACTAAAGCAGGTCGTAACACCATGGGCTAATTGGCAGGAATACCTAGGCTGCATAGTAAAATGTAAAGCAAAACCAGAGCAACTAAAGTAAACTTTTGTAGCGTTCAAACCACTTTGGTTTGGTTGAGCCTGCAGCAAAGGGAATGGGAGCTGCCAAGATGTTACTTTCTTTAATATGTTAAAATGGCAGTGTTTACTTAGAACCATATGGGGACTTTAAGGATAGAAGCTCCAGCCAGAAAGAGAGCCCTGCAGGAGGGAAATAATCAGATAACTCTGCGCTCTGGGCTAGAAACCGATACCACAAAAGGATGGAAAAAGTTTTGTTGTTGCCAGTGCAACAAAGCCTTTCAGTATGTGTGAGCCTGGTGTGTAAATCTGGGCAAGGACTCAGTGTTGGGTTCTGTGCCCCAAAATAAGAGAGAAAGAGAGCTCCAAATGCTCTCTAAGGTCCAAGTCACCTTTCTGCTTGAGGTGACACTTGATGCTGAGCCTGGCTCAGATCTCTGCAGCAAATGACTGTTCTCATGATGATCCAGCTCCACAGAGCCCTGGACTTTGCATTTCTGGTTTCACCTCTATAAACCTGCATGCACACATTTGGCTTTCGCTGCTGATTGTCCCAAGCACCACCTGGTTCTGAGCACACTTATTTTCACAGTAATGCCATGGACAAGGGCTCCCAGGGCCTCCAGTGCCGTACAGGAATGCTGTGGTAAAAGGAGTGGGAATGGATCAAGCCCCAGATTAAATCCCCATGCCCACAGAACCTTCTCTCCTCTTCCTCCCAGCCTCCCCACTCCAGCCCTACCACTCATCACACCTTCCTGGGGTAGCTCCCCGTGCAGAGAGCGATGACAGCCCTGAGAGAGAGAAGCTATTTTAGAAACAAACCTCTTAAAGGAGGCCACTGGGGGTCCTTGCTGTTGTACTTACATCAGGCACGAAGGGAGGATCCAGCATTCCTGCTTCTAACCGCTTGAAATTCATGCTCTTGAAAAAGGGGTGCCTCTTCACCTCTGCTGCCCCTTCCCCCTGACATCCCAGCCGCTGCTTCACGTCTTTGGTGAGGAGCTGAAACGTGCCAACAGGAATGGGGAGGCTGTCAGAAAAGCAAGAGCTCCACAAAGATATTTTTATCACCACTTGTTGTTGAATGTGCCCATAGGGATGTACAGAGGGGAGTTGCAACTGCTGTTGCTTAAAAGCTGGAGTTAAATGGATTAGGACTGCACTGTTCTACATGCTGGTGAAATCCTCAGAAAATCACCTGCTGTAAAGTGTTTACAGTCAAAATAGAGACCATTTCTTTTGCCTGGTTTCAGCAAACACTTTCAAGAGGAGATCTGACATACCCTAGTAACACACAAAGATGCTATATCTTTCTTCTATATTACTTACATATAAAGATGCACATTCATAAGTTCCGCGTGCTTTGTCTCAGTTCTTTTGGTTTTGTTTTTTTACGTTTTTAAGAATAATTTTCCCTCAGAAGAACAGGTGCTTAGGAAAAACCAAAAATACCAAACTGCATTTCCCTCACCCATTCCACTACATACCAGAGCATCACATGGCACACTGAACCACCCCTTTACAGTTATGGGGAGTTCCATCCATGCGGCCAGTGCCCAGTAATTATCCTCAGTTCTGCCTTGTTTGTTTTCAGAGAAGGGCAGTGCACAACCTCTACCTGCTACAGCGAGTCCTGCCTGTTTCCTGGGTACCCATAATGGAGCAATGCCCACCAAAGTGAACTCAGCATCAGATAAGCAAGTCCATGAACAGAAACACTGTGATCAATATACAGGAGAGATTCAACAGGGGAGGCTCAACAGCACCTTCCAGTGCAAGAGAGCTGGAGAGGGACCTTGGATAAGGGCAACTCACAAACAGACAAAGGGGAATGGCTTTAAATGAGGGATGGCAGGTTCAGACAGGATATTAGGAAGAGATTCTTCCCTGAGGGTGATGAGGTCCTAGCACAGGTTCCCAGAGAAGCTGTGGCTGCCCTGGATCCCTGGCAGTGCCCAACTCCAGGACGGACAGGGATTGGAGCACCCTGCTCCAGAGGAAGGCGTCCCTGCCATGGCAGAGGGTTAGACTGGACAGTATCAAGCATCCCTCCGAGACAAACCTTCCTGCGTTCCCCGGGTGATGCTGAGCCGCTCGGGAGGTGCCGCCGGGAGGCAGCAGAGGAAAGGGCACGGCAGGGAGCGCTGCCCGGGGAACGGGACACGGGGCACGGCAGGGAGCGCTGCCCGGGACGGGGCTGCTCCGGGCGATGGCAGCGCTGCCGCCGCTCCTCCGCCGCTGGCCCCGGCGTTATTGGCCCGCAGCCCTGCCCGGGTGGGCTGTGCTCGGTGATGGCACCGAGAGCATCAGCAAAGCATCAGCAAAGCCCAGCGGGGCTCGGCGGCAGGAGGGACAGGGGCAAGGGCTGGGTTGGGCTCTCTGAGCCCGGGCAGGCACCGGGAGCACCCCTGGGAGATCCCCGGGACGGTCCCAGCTGCGGGTGAAGGGATGCCAACACCTTTGGGAAGGCTGGGGAGGATCCCGTGCTCTCGGGTGCATCCCTGCAGGAGCAGGAGAGGGAGCCAGGCGGGTTCTCCAGCCTGGAGATGCTGATCGTGTGCCCAGCTCGGGGTTTGTGTGCCCAGCTCAGGGTTGTGTGCCCATCTCGGGGTTTGTGCGCCCAGATCAGGATTTGTGTGCCCCATCACCTTCTGCCTCAGCCACCGAGGCAGCAGCCCAGCTCAGCTGCCTCATCTCACCAACAGGGAACGTGGAAATTGTTTGTTGCTAATGTCATGTTCTGCTCTTTCCCCTGGTGCCTGGCTGGAGCTGGGGTTTCTTGTCCCTGTCAGGGGTTTGCAGTGTCACGGCTCTTCAGGCTTTGCTGCCACTGGGCATTTTCACCACCTGGGCATTGGTGGTTTTCTGATCTGACTTCCAACAGCCACCCCAGTTCTGTTTCTGTGCTGCTGGGGGCCTCAATTCCAGCCTGAGATGGCAAATGGCTTTGGCAATCCGTGTGCCCCATGGTGCAGAGGCAGCAGCCAGGCCAGAAATGGTGTTGAAGGGACTTGTAAACATAAGTCCCTTCACATTTTCTGCTCAGGTCTTTCTGCCCAGCAGCAGCAGCAATAACAGGAGACTGAATGGCCAGAGGAATGGGTTTAAAGCCACTGGTGCTGGCCACAGCAGCGATGTTCAGCTTCCAAACAGCAACAGCCCTTTCTTCCCCACACTTTGCCTCTGATGCTGCCAAGCTGGTGACATCTGGGCTGACAGATCACAACTGGCTGATCCATAAATGCAAAAAGACTTGAGGAAACATCTGTATGCCCTGTCATTCTCTGAGCAGAGAGATTCACATGATACTGTACCACATCCATCTGACTCACTGCAAAGGATCTGTCTCAGAGCACTTCTCTGGACTTTGCTTTCTCTGCTAGAAGGAAAGAGGGATGCTTTGCTTTCATGAGTTCTCATGATCCTGAGACTAGGATTTTTGCTGTGAGGAGTTTTTTGGGGTTGTTTCTGGGTTGTTTTAGGTTTTTTTGTTTTTTAAAATCTCAACAGTTTTATGCTCTAGCCTATTGAAGATGATTGCTTTGGAATTTCCAATCAGAATCAGGTTTATTCTATTCTGGTTGGGCAAAGAAATCAAAAATTCTTTTAGTCTTTTATTCTTGTGTCAATCGGACTTTCCTGACAGTTGTAAGGAAGAATCTGAAAGCAGAAAGATCATTTTTAAGTACCCATGGCTCTGGAATACTTTTAGAAATGATACCTTGGACATTTGAGGAACAGCTGAGGAGCAAGTGGTGGTAGGAAGGGATAGATTTGGACCTTCCTGGAGATGATACAGGAGAGCTCTGCAGTCTCTGCCCTCAGGTCAGCTCTGAAGGGATGAAAAGGGGTTATTTCCCATCTCTGCAGTCTGGATTCTAGGCTCAGCGGGGAGACCAGGCTGATGTGTGAATTTGCCCTTGTCAGGCTGTAGGATGTTTGGAGTGTGCGGTCAGAGAAAAGGGTAGCTGAGGACAGAAAAAGCTGCCTGGGGATTCCTGGGTTCCTCCATGACAAACAAGGGAGTATTGAGGAACTTCAGATGCAAGAAGGAAGTTTCTGGAGCATGAATGCAGTTGGTTGTGGGTGGCTTGGCCACTGCTGGCTGGAAGACACAAAAGGGAACAGGCCACTGGGAATAGGCTGGGGCTGAAAGAACAGGGAGAGGAGAGGATTCTCCTGCAAAACCCTGCTGCAGGGGAGCTGCAGTCTCCTAAGAGTGCCAGGAGAGTCACCATGGAGAAAAAGGCTAGAAATAAATGGAACTTGAAAAGTTGTAGATGCAGCCAGCTCTAGAGATGGCAACAGGTGAAACCAGACATTCTTCCTGGCTTCTGTTGTGGATATCAAGACACAGTATGGATTAGAATATTTTCCAGAAGGGAGAATCCTTCCTTTCACCAAGGAATTATTAGTCTTTCACCATTTCCTGCAGCCCCAGAAGCTTTCTGCAATAATGAATCCGTGCAAGAGCCTGAAATATGCATCCCATTTGGGAATCTGACACGGAAAAGAAAATGGAGATAACAACAGTATGTTATAAGTCATCTCTACACTTTTGTTTAATTCAGCTTCAAAGGGTTTGTTTAATATGAATAGGGAGCAGAACAAAAGCAACTCCATCAGGCTGATGACAAGCCCTCCTGGGACAGCAGTGCAAGGGACCCCATCAAATGTAATTTAAATGTAATTCTACAGTGGAGCCTGCAGATAATTCACAGTTTCAAACCTGGAGATGGCCTGGGCCAGCCAACCATACATGAAGCTAATGCCAGAGAGCAGAGCTGTGAGCTCTGGTAAAAAAGGCTCCAGCTGACACTGGACATTTAGGGTTTAGTCTGCAGAGTTCATGGGCAGAGCATGACTAGAACAGGACTTTCAAAGAGAGTCTTGAGTAGCAGCAGTAAAGTTCCATCAAGATCTTGGTACAAAGAGCTCTCTGATACTTTCATGTCACTCATTTGATCCCCACTGGGGATTCAAACTCTGCCATGTCTGAGACTTTTTTCCACGACTTTGTTTTGCTTCCTTTACAAAAAGAAACAACTGTTGTGACGATTGCTAAAAAAAGCCAAAAGTCCCCAAAGCGCTGTTTTATCTTCATGTGATCAGTCAGTTCATCTCCAGACCATACTATGTAATAAATAATTCCAAGTTCTAAGATGTTAGTCCTAAAATTATAGGAGCAAGGAAAACAAAAAAATTGCCACTCATGAAAGGAGACAAGGGGAATGCTAAAACCATTTCCATTGACTCAGCTGATCAAGCAGTTTAAGGAATCACCTAGGTAAAGTTCAGCCCTGACACTGAAGTAAACATTTTATTTTAAGCAATTTTTAGAGAACAGAAAAGCAATACTATGGTCAATTACTAAATGAGAGCAGAGAGATGAAAGAGAAGTTATTCTTGGGCACTGCTAAACTTTAAGGTGTCATAATGCTGATTTCCTTGGGATGAAAGCAGAAAGGAGGGATGGCAGCAGGCAGGAGCAGCTGTATGATGATAGAGCTCCTGATGGTAAGTGAGGAACAGGAAAAAATTGCTTTTAAGGAAAACAGAACCTGTTATCTTTTAGTTGGTTGGGGTGACACTTTGAAAAGGGAATGGAGATCAGAAACATGGAAGCCACATCTGGACATGGTCTAGTCCAATCCCTGCAGTCCCTGTCCTAGTTCAAAGCAGAGGTTCCTAGAGCAGGTTGTTCCAGACCATGTTTTGTTGGGCTTTGGATATTTCCAAGTGTGGAGACTTCACAGCCTCTCTGGGCAACCTGTTCCCCTATTTGGCTACCCTCACCATGGAAAATTGTGTCCTAACGTTCAGAGGGAACAGAACAGCTCCTGTGCCCCAGTTTGTTTCCCTTGCTTCCTGTTCTGTTACAGGACACCCAACCAAGAGTTTGGCCCTGTCTCCTTAGCACCATCCCACCAGAGACCCCTTGTGCAGGGTAAAATGGGAGCTGCAGGGATAAAAGGCACCAGGGAAGGCAATTCTGTGGGAAATGCAGACAAGCAGGGCCCTGACAGAGTGACAGAGCAGCGCAGCAATGAGGGCCCATCCAACACTGCTGGCTTGAATGCACTTCAAGTCACATCTCTGGATGCATGACTGCACTTGTCAGGGAAAACAGGCATGTACATCATGGAGTACGAGGCATAACCACAACAAACACGGAGCATTTCCTAGAAAGACTGGATTTTTTCACAGAAAAAACACACCAGGAGCAGCTATGTTATATGGGAACTATGGGTTGGGGAGCTTCCCAGAAAGCCAGCTGCCCCTGTTCCTAATTATTTGTTATTCATCTCTGTTTCAGTCCAAAATGAGGTCTGATTTATGGGAAATTACTTACAAAATGAAACATGGAAATATGGGATGGATGATGATTAATGGGAGCTATGATATGTGCCTGCAAAAATGCAAAAGGGCACAAACATCCAGGAGGGGAAGGCTGACGTGGGGTGACACCAGAGGGTTTTCCTATGAGTAAATGAACAAAGACAATGCATTTCCTGGTGGTGATGCTATTAGCTCATGGAGAAAGCTCTGAAGAGAAGGCTGGGCAACATGGTGGGAAACATTTCCTCACTCCTGCCCTGAAGAGTCCATCATGGGAAAGCCTTTTGTGCTGGATCTTCAAGAAGGCTCAAGTTTCATTTATATATTACAACTTTTTGCTTCATTTTGCATTTATGGTGGGTACTTTATGACTCTTTTGTTTCCTTGTTAAGACGCTGATGGAAAGCAACAAAGTTCTGGCCTTCATTATAAAAAGCAAAAAGAAATGGAGAAAATATGAATTTGAATAATGGATTTAAAAATAAAAAACATCACTTGATAAAATAAATTACTTTTGGGTGGGAAACCACAAAGGCCATCACACTCAGTACCAGGACTCAGACTCTTCCTGCCTCAAGATGCTAATGCTCAGAAAAGGAAAGCTTATCTTTGGATCTATTAATAGTTTGCACAAACCACCTCAATAAACATGCCACATGATTGGACAAGGAAGCTGCAGTGATCAAGTTTTCAGCAATAATTTATATATAGTCCAAGCTTCCCTGAGGCAAGAGGAAGAGCTAGATGATCTCCTGAGGTCCCGACTCCCTGAAACCAGAGTCTCCATGGCAGGAAGATGAAAATGACCACCACAGTGTCATGCCTGTCTGCTGCCCTGGGAGTGTGGGAGGTCATCCACAGCACTATCCCATCAATGCTACATTTAATTCTTCCCAGCTTTAAGTTCTCATGGTTATTTTCAAAGTGTATGTTCATTCTGTTATGCAAGGGAAATAAAGAGTAGCAAGAAGGGTTCTACAGGTATGCCAGCCAGAAGAGGGGGGTTGGACTATGTGATCTTTAAAGGTCCCTTTCCACCCAAACTATCTGATTCTGTGCCTCAAGCAGCAAAGCAAAATTTTGGCCTCACATCTCCATTTCAGATTAACAGCAGGACAGACACACAAATTCCCTGCCACTCCAGCAGACTCTGCTGCTCACCTGGTGAGGAGAGAGGGCAGCCAGCTGGGGCACATGGGATGGTCAGTGAGAGCCCATGGGATGCCCTGTGAGAGCCCATGGGATGGTGTGTGAGAGCCCATGGGATGGTGTGTGAGAGCCCATGGGATGGTGTGTGAGAGCCCATGGGATGGTGTGTGAGAGTCCATGTGATGGTGTGTGAGAGCCCATGGGATGGTCTGTGAGAGGCCATGGGATGGTGTGTGAGAGCCCATGGGATGGTCTGTGAGAGCCCATGGGATGGTGTGTGAGAGCCCATGGGATGGTCTGTGAGAGCCCATGGGATGGTGTGTGAGAGCCCATGGGATGGTCTGTGAGAGCCCATGGGATGCCCTGTGAGAGCCCATGGGATGGTGTGTGAGAGCCCATGGGATGGTGTGTGAGAGCCCATGGGATGGTGTGTGAGAGCCCATGGGATGCCCTGTGAGAGCCCATGGGATGGTGTGTGAGAGCCCATGGGATGGTGTGTGAGAGCCCATGGGATGGTCTGTGAGAGCCCATAGGATGGTGTGTGAGAGCCCATGGGATGGTCTGTGAGAGCCCATGGGATGCCCTGTGAGAGCCCATGGGATGGTGTGTGAGAGCCCATGGGATGCCCTGTGAGAGCCCATGGGATGGTGTGTGAGAGTCCATGGGATGGTGTGTGAGAGCCCATGGGATGGTGTGTGAGAGCCCATGGGATGGTGTGTGAGAGCCCATGGGATGCCCTGTGAGAGCCCATGGGATGGTGTGTGAGAGCCCATGGGATGGTGTGTGAGAGCCCATGGGATGCCCTGTGAGAGCCCATGGGATGGTGTGTGAGAGCCCATGGGATGGTGTGTGAGAGTCCATGCAATGGTCTGTGAGAGCCCATGGGATGGTCTGTGAGAGTCCATGGGATGGTGTGTGAGAGCCCATGGGATGGTGTGTGAGAGTCCATGGGATGGTGTGTGAGAGCCCATGGGATGGTGTGTGAGAGTCCATGGGATGGTGTGTGAGAGCCCATGGGATGGTGTGTGAGAGCCCATGGGATGCCCTGTGAGAGCCCATGGGATGCCCTGTGAGAGCCCATGGGATGGTGTGTGAGAGCCCATGGCTGCCCCAGGTCCTCCATGCCAGCTTCACTGGGGGCTCTGCATCACCATTTAAGGGCAGTGAAGGGCCCAGAGCATCTCTCAAGAGTGATGTCAGTTAAACACCACCCCGAGGATTCAGGAATGACTCGGTGCACTGCGAGTTAATGACTTCCAGGCATGACTCTTGGCAGTGCTACCATTATTATTCTGCAAGGAGACTTCAGTGTCTCTTCATGCAGCCAGCCAGCCAGAGTGTTGTGGATCTGCTCTTTGCCTGCCTGTTGCACAAGGCATTGGTGAAACCCTCCCTACCTATTTGTTGACCTTTCCTCCCCTTCGTTCTCCCTCCACCAGCAAACACAGATAGATCATTGTCTCCAAAGGAGACTTCACTCCTTAGCAAACAACACCCAGAAAAAGGCCACATCCTTTTCCAAATTACAATTCAGCCTTCTAAAGATGGATGTCAACAAGGCATTGATGAATTCAGACGCAGCTTTGAGATTTCTCAGAGGGATTGAGGATTTCCATTGTCAGACATGGCTATTGTGCTACGAAAATGACTCCCAGCTGAAGGAGTGAGAAAACATTTTGAAGAACAGCTCAACAGTATTAAGAAAAGCTGGATACCCTGACACCCCCGGGGAAAAGCTGCTAACAAAGTTAGTGAGATGGGCTGGGACAACATTTGAGTGTCACAATAATTTCATTGCATAATCTTTGTCCTGCTTACCCCCAGCTCTCACCAAAGACAATGGAAGCGTGGGGTTTGCAGTTCCTTGCAGGAGACAATCAGATTCTTGCATCATCGAGTCCTTTTTCTTTTTTTCTACAAGTTTATAAAAGACAGAGATGCATTCTTGACTGCAAACTAACATTCAAAGTCTCATGAGAATAGACATCGCTCCCTCGGCCATAAAACTTTGGAGAGGGCTTGGGATGACCGAGATGAATCTCACAGAGAAACAAGCCCAAATAAACAGAGTTTGAATGAATAGAGAGTGCAGTCATCCCATCCACAGATGAGCTTGGTTAGTCCTTGTTTCTGCAGCCCGTCCATGGCCCCCTGTCACTGCTCAGACCGTGTCAGACACAGCTGGTTAGTGAAGCTGCCCCACTGAGCCTTCCAGCCCCTTACCATTTTACAGATGGACTTGGCCTCCTCAGAGAACTTATGGGAGTACACCTCCTCTGTCTCCAGCACTCTTCTGTCCACTTCTTCCCTCTTCACCTTCTCTTTCCTCCCACGGAACGGCGATTGCCCAGCAATCATTTCATAAATGAGGCAGCCTAACCCCCAGTAGTCAGGGCTGAGTGTGTATCTCTGGTTGTTCAGCACCTCTGGAGCTGTGGAGGAGAGTGAGATGCCTTGTGGAAATGCTTGGTGTTTACACAGGCACAGCATTTAAACGCCTCAAAGTTTCATTTTGGTGACTGAGTACACATGCACAGAGAATGGTGGGTAAAATACAGAAACACCTTCTGAAATGCAGCATGCTGCCTGCCATGGTTCTCTCTACATGCTACATGCCTTGTGCATGCTGTCTTCTGACTTCTCTACCAACTCAGTCCAATTAAAATAAAAAAAAATCATGAAAGAAGTTGGGTCTAAATATTAAGCAGAGACCTAATTTCAAGAGTTCCTCCAGATTTCTCCACTTAGGAAAGAAAGGAAATGCAAACACACATCCTGTAAACAGCCGTGACATTTCTTCAAAAGCAAATTCTGTCTCTTTGGTCAATTCATAGCTTTTATTTTTCCCCTTTAAAGAAACTCCAATCCATTAATTTTGTGTTGCAACCACAGACAATGCTTTTGGGCAGAGAGTCACTGTCTTGCAGGCACCCTCACCTCCATGCAGGGGTACAAACACACATCCCCGCGTGCTCACAAGCACAGAGCCTTGGTGTGCACGCAAACTTACACTGGGATAACAAAATTTAGACATGACAACTGATTTGCTTGCTTTCATTAAAGTCTCCATATGGTGTAACAGTGGCTCACATCAGCTAGTTTCTATTCAGTCAAATAAGCATAAGCAATTTTTACTCCAAGAAAATATGCCCACCCAGAGAATGCATGAAAATAATTACATTGAGTTTAGAAAACAGATCTAGTTAAATAAGGGAGTGTAGTTCTTGAGGTTTTTTTTTTACCAATGTAGAAATCTCTACTTGTCTTTTGTGCAGATCCTCCCCTGCACACAGAGGAAAGCTCAAGCTGACCCTGGTCAAGATGACCATACGTCTGACTTACCCATTTTATCATAACCATGCAAATACATTCTAACTCCTATACAAAGCAACAACTAGAAAGAAACCTTTATTTTGGCACATAACCCTCCTAAGATAAATCTACAATAAAATCACTAGAATCCCAGTTGCTGTCTCCCCTTTCAATTTTCTTTGCTGATTTAAGGTTATAGACCAGCCTCACTGAGAGCTGTAGAGGTCCAGCCTTTCACCCTCTTCTGATTTTCACTATCAGGATTTCTGTAGGAGTTGCTGCATGAAACTGGACCCAGCTGAATGTGAATATTTTTTATTCTTTTTCTTAAGCTTTCTTGGCAGAAATATCTCTAAAACTCAAGTAACCTTGGTAAATTTTTAAAAAGATGAGCTGTGGAAGACTTACCCATATACCCTACTGTTCCTACTCTTCCACGGATTGATTCACCCTCGGGGATTTTGACAGCTAGACCCAAATCAGATATTCTAATATGGCCTGGAAGGAAAAAAGAAACAAAACAACACAAAGCAGATATAATAACCTGACCCAAATTAGTCCAAAACACACAACTGTGGTCATTGCTGAACTACTCCTGCAATTTACTGCTCAGACATTTTAGGAAAAGAGTGTTCTGAATCACTGAATTGGAGCAGTTCCATTGATTGGGAAAAGAGGAATTATTAAGGGCACTACAACACAGTGAAATAAATGCTAACAGTAAGGCTGTGGACTGCAGCGGATTGCATCAGGTATTTTAAAACCAATGAAAAAAGGCAGAGAGAAGCATGCTGTGGGGAAGTATCTTGAACTGATCACAGAGGATGGATGGGTTGACACAATTCTGTAACTCTGTGATGGCTGAGGAGGCCACATCTGGTCTGCAAGTCAGCAGGAGATTCGATTATCGCTGCCTCCAGCAACGAACGTGTACCTGGGTTTGCATAAAACCAGACTTGGCTCAGCAGAGGGGGAAAGTACTTTCAAAAATGGAGAGGGAAGCACAGATTTAGAAATTAGAGCTCCCTTTGTGTTGCACCAGCCTTGCAACAAGGATGGAAAAGCAGCGAGGGAAGGCAGAGAGCCCCAGCAATGCGGAGCTCTCGAGAACAGCCCCTGCTGAGGGCACGGCTGCCTCCCTCCATCTGTGCAGAGCTCCAGCAGCTCAGCCACCCCTAGACAGGAATATCAGTGTATGCTGAGCCTCTTAATCACTTCAGAGCATTATTTGTCTTTGTGCAATGTATATCCTGAAACTAACTTAATCTACTTTACTGTGAAAGCATCTCTGTAAAGCTCCGAGACTTACCATAATCATCCAGCAGGATATTTTCTGGCTTCAGATCTCTGGAAATGAAAGATAGCAGTTATGGGCATGAAGCTGGTTTTGATAACATAACCATACAACTGTGTGGGGGCATTTATTACTTGTAATAAACCAATTGAGTGTCAACTCACACAGCAAGGAACTCCTGAAACCAATACAACCTTTTACAACTCACTTCACAGATAGACTGAAACCATATGTCTTTTCCTAAACTGGAGTTGTAATTTTTCACCAAACCAAGCTTTTAGTTCCTAATCTACCCTATAATGGACTCATCCATCTAGTCCTGTAAGCCCTGTAAACGAACCCCTATAGCCCTGTGTGCTGTAAAATCTCTCTAACATTTTCTGTTATAAAATCTTACGTTAAAAAAATAGGTTTTAAAATCCCTTATTTACATGTGAAAATGGAAATAGCAATCTGCTGGGCTCAAATTTTCTATGTCTGGCATCTGAGTCAGACCAAATATGTGAATGTGTGTCCATGCACTTGCACACATGTGCAATAATTTTGTTGAGTTTGGAAAACACGGGGCAGAGGGGGGAATGCTGTGTCCAAATTAAGATTATTCTTACAAGCATTTGTGAAACTCTAGTGCCTGTGTGGTTTGGGGCAATGCCATGAAAATGGGCAAGGTGGTCAATCTGATGTCAAAGATGTGCCTTTTACTGTTCCTGAGAAAAAGAAAACAACCCCCCCCCCCCCAGATCTGGGCAAGGTATAAACTTCTGAAGTAAATAATCTCAGTTTTCATATATTTAGCAGGGCCTGGGCAGTCTGAAAAGTTTGAGGGGGGAGCCAGGCAGGGTCCTTCCCATCCTGTTCATGCAGAGGGGAATGAAGCCAGCTCAAGAGGTGGGAGCAGAGGTGTCAGAGGGGGACACGGACATGCTGGGCAGGGAGTGTCCCAGCAGTGCCCCAGGACTGGGCTGTGCTGGCCTCAGCCTGAATGAGGCACCAGCAGCTGGGTGAGGCAGGAAAAACAGCATTGCTTCAATTCACCACACCATGCCCTGGCTTTTATCTGGAGACAGTGCTCAGCCTGGTGCAAATCCAAACCCTGCTTGGCCTCTTCTTTTTTGTCAGTGTGTCAGTGTAAGGCTGCCTTGCATCTGTGAGCCAGCTTGGTTCTGGTAACTTCTCAGAAAAGAGTAATTTCTGTGCAAAGAGCAAAGAGAAAGCCTCACACCAGGGCACAGGGCAGAGCACAGAGCCCACCCCACCTCTCCAGTTGCACCACTCCAGTATCATGAATTTTCCTGTGTATGAAGAGAGGGTATTTTATAGTTTGACAATGCCAAAGTTGGAATTTTGAAACTTGCCGTGTTTTTATTTATGATTTCAAGCAAGAACACAGAGCTCTGTGAGTAATCTCCTCTCCTTGCTTGCTTCAGACCTTCCTGACCTTCCAGATAAACCTCACCCAGTGCCCAGTGGTACCAAGCCTGCTTTTCAAACAAATAATGCTGAAATATGTGAAGGGCATATTTATGAATATTGAGGAGAAGCTGTGATTTTGTTTAACATACCACTGGGGGCTTTCCCTGCCACTCAGCAGAAGGTTTCCAATGCTGGAGCAGCACAGTCAAGGTCATTGTCCATTTATTTTTGAAAATAGGTTCTGAATCCTGTAAGAATCATTCCCTTGAAGAACTCAGCCTTCATCAGTTATTTCATCTTCTGCTCAGCAGTTATTAGTCCCACACAAAACTGCAACTGGGGGCAGTGATAAGAATCTTATGTGCAACTTGGGAAATTGTTGTCTTTGAATGAGAAAATGGGAGACTCCAGAAGGACTCTGAGAACATCAGTTCAGTTCTTAGGGTCCTCTGTGATTCAGGGCAATTTGAGGAAGCTTTCCTCCCCTCCCAGGCATCAGCTGTCATTCCTGTTTTCAGGATTCTGGTTCCTCAGGATCAAGGCTGGCTTCCTTTGCATGGCCAGCACTTCCAAGGGTTCATGACTGAAATGTCCAAGAGGAATAAAACTCCCTGGTGGACACACTGACACATAAAGCTGCTTCCCAAAGGCTCAGCTTCCCATTTGTAAATTAGCCTTGCCCAAACACACTGAAACATAAACTGCTGGCACTGTGCCCACGCTCAAAAGGCAATTGTTTGGCTGTGCAGGACGGCCTAAACAACTCAATTAATCACTTTGGACAAGGCTTTACCATGTACTTGTGCAATGCCTGGGACAATGTGAGCTCGGAGCTTCCAGGCATCGCTACAGCATAAATGAAAAAAAATTACATACATAAAAATATTTCTAGAAACAAAAAAAAGTTATATACATATACATATACATATATATAAAAATTATAAAATAAAAATCTAAATACATAATATAAATTATGAACTTTAAATTAATAAAAATGAATTACATATATACATACACAAATAATTTGAGTAGAACCAGCAGCTTTTTACATTTGCTTTCCATGAACAACCAACCCATTGACCTTTACTAACATGCTGCAGTTGAGAGATGTAGCACAAGTGCCATGTTTGACAAGGGAATTCTGAATGAGATGAATCTGACTCTGAGCCTGGTTGTTCTCCCAGGTCACGTCTGCAGCGTGCGTCAGCAGCGGCCCAGGAGATGGGGATGCATTTTCCAAAGCTGTGATTTACTCAGGAGCATTTTGTTTAAAGAAAATGAAATTAAGTCTGAAGAAGAAGTGTTTTGTGATGAATTATTCGCCTTGAGAAGGCAGTGGCATTTAGCTGCTATTTTTTATTGACCTATATAGCACTTCTCACGGGTCCCACAACACGCTGCGCTGTTACAAATGAGGGGTCTCTGCAGATGCTCCTGACATACTGCTAGAAAATGTCACCTACAAGGATGTAGTATCATTCATCACCAAAATGAATGTGCCATCTGAGGTGTAAAGTAGCAGTTCTTTTAAGAGTAGCATGAAAACTCCTGCTTAAGGAAGTAGGTGCCATTTCTCTCAGAGCCACGCACTATTTTATGTGGCCAGATCTGATTTGTTCTGTTAGAAAATGGAATTAGTATGGCATTTTACCAGCCATGTTATGAATGCACCAGTCATTTTTTTTCAATAAAATATGATTGTGAAACACTACACTACCTCCTAAAATGTTTGAAAATGTGGTAGGAGGTTTTCTAAGGGAAAAGGAAGCCAGACGCTTCACTTATGATTTGATTTTTCAATTGACGTTAGACATTTAGTACCATTTTGTTCCCTGGGGAAAGAAGAAACTTCCTTCTTGGGTGAGCACCAACTAAATCAGCATGTTATCTGTCTGCCCTCTGTGTGCCAGCTAGCAAGATGCAAGGCAACCAAGTGTCAGTTTCTTAGAGATTTCCAAGGAACAACAATATTGCATTTTCCATGCATACAAGTGCATGCATCATATGTATTACACCCAGGCATATAAAATGATTTAAAGTGTGGCTTGGCTTTTAAAAATAGCATCTTATTGTCTATTAATCATTGTCCTTGGAAGTTCTTTCATCAATTTACAGGCCCTCTTCTGCTGTGAATGCCAGCAATGATGATTTCACAAGCGGGGATGATGAAGACAAACAAGAACCGTTGTTTACAACTACAGTGGCTGTTGATTAAAAAAAATAAATCCTCATGGAGTCACAAGAACTCCGTCTGCAATCTGCTTGCTTTTCCAGCCTGCCCTGGAAAAGTGCTTGTGTAGAGCTGGGAGCCAAAGTGGAAGCTGAGAACTTGGGATGTGCCCTCCTGGAAGCGGCAGCGCCGGGCAGCGCTGTGCCCGCTGGCTGCTCCCGGGGAGGGTGGGATGCTGCCAGCAGGATGCCTCTGTGGTGTGCCTGGGAATGGGCCCCCTTCCATGGCTGGCATGCCAGGATCACCAGGATCCCATCCAGCTAATCACACTCACACCAGGGGAAATCCATGCCCTCTGTCTCAGACACCCTCTTGCGTGCCCTCTGCAAAAGAAGTTTTCCCACACCTGACGTGCTGCAAAATAATCTAACTAATTAAAATAGAGGCTTGGATGGAATGATCTCCATTTCACCCCAACTAGGAACGCAATTCCTAAATGAAATCCCTTTAAAGGAACTTCCATCATTTTCTTATGTTGCCCAGTGCAGACCGAGGTAGGGTTTGGGGAGCTTTGTGCTAGTTCTGGATGATTTAGACAGGATGTATTTAGGGAAGCAACTGCTTCCTTCCATGATTATTGTATCATGGTGTATTTATACAGGGCTCTGCAAAATTTCAGCCAAAGCACTCGGGCATCTCAGCTGTGCAGCACCACAATAAGAAGGGAGGAAGCAGACAATCCTTTCCTACCCAGAAAAGACATCCTGAGACTCTAGAGAGTGCTTACCTGTACACAGTGTTTTCTCTGTGAAGGTCTTCCAAGCCACAAAGAATCTCTGCTGCATAAAACAAAGCTCTTTCCTCCTCGAAGCCTGGGTTTCCCATGTTGTAGATATGAAACTTCAGGTCACCTCCATTCATTATGGTCAGAACTAAACACAGTGCGTCCTTTGTTTCATAGGCATAGGCTAAATTGACCTAGAAAAACATTTTCAGCACAGTTGTGACAGTTCAGATGGCTGCTAAGAAGGAAGTGCTAGCTCTTCATTAAAGATTTTCATTAAAGTTTTTCTCCATAAAATGAAAAAAAATACATTGATTGAATTTGTTATGGGCTTTCTTACAACAGCAAACAGATTTTAAAAGTATGGAAAAATCAGATTTTAGGATTCTACAGAATAATTTGTGGACCAGAAACCCTCAAGGCTTAGATGGCTTCAGAGGCTGGACAAACATACTAATTCCAGGCATATTTTCCCATGTATGAGAAATCTTAGTAATCAAGGGAATCTACACCTCCTGCTGCATCACTTTGCATCCCAGTGAGTTCCTTGGAAGTCCCAGATACTCCAGTCCTGGGGTGATCAAATGGACCATCACGGAGATGGGAAGGCCAGCATCATCCCTGGGGGCTCTGGTGGGTGCCCAAGGAAAAATCAGACCAGCCAAAATCTACCCATCACTTTTAAATACGTGCCATCCTCTGGCAGAGGCAAATAAACATGTAAGCAAACACCTTGCATCTGCTGTATACACAGTGTTTCCTGAAATAAGTATAAAGAACGTGACAGATGCTGAGATAACACCTTTTTTATTTTTCTAAATCTAAGGGAAGCTTTAAAGGAGGCACAAGAGATGGTGCGACTCAGGAGAGCCCTGCATCAGGCCAAGCAGCTCCATCTCACTGCTCAGATGCTTCTGCAAGCCAGTCTCATCTCTGTTTGGGTTGAATCTCCAAGCACCTCTCTCCCAGAGCCTGGGAATTCAGGTGCTCACAAGCCAAGGCTGTGAAACAGATCCTGCTCCCATGGCAGGCACAGGCCCCTTGGCTGCTGCACTTCTCATGGACCAGAGACTGAAATGCGACTCAGCAAAGGTGCCCAGAGCAGGACTAAGGTGCAAAGCAAAGGGATTCAGCTCCTGGCACCTCTCCAGGAGCAGGAGATGGAGGAGGCACTGGGTTCAACCAGAGCAGGGAACCATGGAGCTCAAACAATACTCACTACAAACTGACTATTGACTTTCTCTAAAATCTGCTTCTCGTTGAGCGCCATGGATTCGCCTTTCCTCTTCTTGATCCTCTTCTTCTCCAGCCTCTTGCAGGCGTACATCTTCCCCGTGGCTCGCACTTGGCAGGCGCAGACCTGCAAACAAACGGAGCACAACGATTGTGGGTGATGCAAAGCAAACCCAGCTGTGCCTGGGCTGCTCTTCCCTCCTCACATCTCCTCTGGATCAGTCCTTTTAAGGCCAGAGATGGAGGCTCAGTGAGCCAGGCCTAGGCGGGGGCAGCTGGGGGATCAACTGCTGTTTCCAAACCTGCTGCGGAATATTGGTTCAATTATTTCACTTTCCTCCGCCTGCTTCCTCTCCCACCTCCTTTTGTCTGTGCAGAGTTTAATCTCTCAAGTCTGCACCTCCCCTGCCTCTGCTGCCACCTCCAGACACCAGGAAAATACAAACAAGGGTGTGACCCCAATTCCGCCGTGAACGCAACAGCTGAACACAAAATAACTCTCCAAAGTGTCCCTTTGAGATTATGGTGTCATGAGGGGTTAAGTAGAACTGTCAGCAATTACTGTAAATCAGCCCCTGTCACATCAGGCTCCTGTACCTGCACTGTCTGAAAAGTAAGAAACAAAAAGTAAGAAACACTCGTAACAGAAAATTTCAGAGTTACTCACCTCCCCAAAGCCGCCTTTCCCCAGCACCCTGTACTGCCTAAACGTGTTTTTTGTTACTGGTTGCCTGGAAGAAAAGGAAATAAATAAATAAACCCCCCCACCACACTATGTTTAATGCACTCTCTGTGATTTATTTATTTCAGAGCATACTTTTGAAAAGCAAAATAGATAAATATTATATAATCCCATTATTTCAAGGTAATAGTATTATATAATATAATATATAATTACATAATTACATTACTTCAATACTATGTATGGCTTGAACTTTTCAATTCCAACATATTAAGCTGTAATAAAATACAACACATTAGTGAGTCATCAGTATAATTTCTGCTAGCATCTTAGGACCAAGGAGGGTTCTGAATCTCCATTATACAGCTTTGGCCTTTGTTAAGCAAAGAGGAAGCCTGAGATCTTCCAGTGAGATATTAATTCCCATGACACATAGGGTGGGCTAACACATTGCTTTGCTTGGCCTGCAAGATGCGAAAAACAGATCCAAAATTCAAACCACCAGAAAATATTTCTGTTGTGTTAAACAAAACATGAAACTCATATGAATGAAAGGCAGAAACAATTCTGGGAGCAGGAGGATTTGTGTGACATTTACAGACTGGGAGAGCAGGAAGACGAGATCCAAGCCAGTCCATTCCCTCTGGGCTACCTGCTTCCTGGGGGAGCATCAAGGGCAAAAAGGGATCAAGAACTAAATTAAGGTTAAATAAATCTGTCTTTGAGGGCAGAGTGCTCCCTTGACATCACTTGATAGGATCCCTACACAATCTACCAGGCTTCCCACAAAATCTGCTCCACCAGAACAGCTCCAACCCTATACCAAACCTTTACTTTGCTACTGTAGAAGTTTTACAACACGACAGAAGAAGAATTCCAGGTTCAGCGAGATCCCGTTTTGTTTCCAGCACCAAGGCTTTACAGGGATCCCAGCAGTGGATATGAACACTCCTGCTCCCCTTGCTCCCCTCTGGCAGGCAGCCAGCCGGCAGAGGGAGCACAGGGACGTGGCTGTTCCCACCACAGGGATGATGAGGTCGATGACAATGAAGAATAAATGCTGAACTGAATCCTTTAATTAATGCCCTTTATTGTTTTCCAAACTAGGGGAAGAATAGTATGCAGACAGTAAAAAACTAGAAGAGGAAAAAATGGGTTTTTTCAGTATTCCATGAGGCTGCTGCAAATGCTTTTGGGGTTGAAAGCATCAATTAGTATTGATAGCTACATGTTCAGCAATGTCCCTGGAATAAATGGACTCTGTGACTGCTCCTTTGGAGCTGTTGATCTCTCCATGCTACTAACACCTCTTTGCTAATCCCAAAAACAATTCTCCCAGCTTCTTAAGCCAGGCATATCCAACAGCTTGTCACACTTGTTGGGGGAATGGAAAAAAAAAATCCTCAAAGCATTGCAGAAAATTCCTTATCCCTAATGTGAAAACAGATAGGAAATAGCCTGGCTAGAGATGAATCACCCGATGTTTTTTTAATTGAAATAGAAGAGTAAATGCTGGGCTCAGTGAAGATGGCATGTGGAGCATGTCTTGGCATGAAATGGCTCTTCCCTGTGCCCACCCCTCCTGAGCAGCAGCTCTGCAGCTTTCCAGGGAGAGGAACTGGCACAGCTCCTTTGATCTGGAGGCGCCCTGCTGCCACACAGCGCTCTCGGATCCGGCCCTGGCTCAGCCGCCGTAATTAATGCCATTTGTGCAAAATGGGGCTTCTCCCTGCCCAAGGTCACGGTCACCCAGCAGCGACCGTCTGTGCAGCACCCCCTGACAGGGGAAAGGCACTCTCCTTGCAAATTAATACCCACCAAGGCTGCCTGGTTATTAAATGTGCTCAGGAATGTCCAGCCAATAAATACAGCGAGAGGACCTATAGGCCGCATTTTCCCTCTCTTTGGAGTGATTTAATAACAGTGACAACTGGTCCAGACAAAAAGTCACCACATTCAGAGGGCAGCTAAACAGAAAGACAGCTGAAGTTGCTGAATGTACATTAATCATACCTAATATGTTTAATGTACCTAAGCCCATTAAATGGTCCAGCACTTGAGCTGTAGAAGCAAACATTATCTCAAGTGTCTGATTTTGAGCATATTCGACAGACTTTGCATGGAAAGTAAAAATAAACATTTTAATTTATTTTTTATTTAAAAAAAAGAAGTCTTGTGACACTTACCTTTCCAACCACTTCCACTGGAGGAACCTGTCGAAGTACATGCTGTTTAGGTACTCTTGGAATGGTTCCCCACTGAGGTGGTCAAGGACAGATCTATCTCAGATGAAAAGGATATATAAGCATTTTATAATCCTGAACTTTGAGCAAAAGAGAAATAAAACAAGAGGAGAAAAGTCCAGAGTTCTTTTACAGTAGGATTATGTTACTTCTACTTTATTTTGTACTTTATTTTGCTCACTGTTTCAACATAGAGACAAAGTGATGTGCTTGATGTATCTCATAACAGGAGGCCTCACACAAGCTGAATACTGGTGATGCTTGCTGAAAATTATCAGGGCAACTCCCACTGGCTTTAAAGGACTTTTACAGAGGTTGTTAGCCACCACAGAGTGAATGTCTTTGCTTCTGTTAGTAAACTGAAACAACATCCTCAGGAACTGAGCTCCTAAAATTTGAGGGATGTTTACATCTGGATAAAAAACTTTTGGCTGAAGCCCATTTCTATCAAAAAGAGACCATCTGAGGCATCATTTTGAGCAAAAAGATCAGTTTCAATTCCTGCTATATGGAAGAATAGTACATGTGACTACGGTCAAAGGGGATTTCCTAACAGCTATGTGCTTTAGTAGAGTAAAACAGAGGAAAGAAAAGTCTGAACAGGGATGTGGATTTGCTTCTGGATCAGGAAAAGAATTTTGGGGCTCATGCAGTAGATGGAGCCTTTTGCATAATGGAAGGAATAAAGGAATGAAAAGGTCAGTCTGCAAATGTGAGAATAAAGTCTCTTGCTTGTGGCAGGCAGCAAAGAGCCAGAGAGCATCAGGCATCCCATCAGAAAGGCCAAGGGCTTGGAACTAAGAAAACATGGGCTGAGCTGGGAGCTGTCTAAAATGAAGGTGATCAGGCTGTTCAACAACTGCTGGTGCTGGTTCTTGCTGTGCTTACTGGGGCTCCTGCAGCCACCTCTGCTGGCAGCACTGGCAGGGACCAAGTTGGGTTTGGGTGAAAAGCGCCCAAAGAAATGAGCATTTCTGTCTGGGTGTACACAGACACATTTGTGTCTGTGTCTGAGGGCATAGAGACACATTTACAGATCTTGCTGGAAGGAGGAAATCTTCTCTGAATGACTGCTCTAGTCGGGGGATGGATAGTCCATGTCTTACCCTGAGGCAGTTCTCAGAGCAAACAAGTCACCATGAGTAATGTGTCTCCTCAGTTCAGTTCCTCCCCGTTCATGAGCTAGTATTTTTGGAATTTCTCAGTTACAATATTATTTTTTTTTGTAATTCTTGCACCATCAATTTGGAGAAGGCAGGTAATTGCACATGTTCAGAATGCACAAGTCAAATTGCTGCTGTCTTCATTAGCTTTGACTGGACACAGATCATAACTGTTTCCCTTAATGGATTAAAGATTACAAAATGAAATTAAAAGTAAGTCTTAATTTGCTTTAACAAATATCCAAATTCAACATCGGATTTCTAGGTGATGTTGGAGGAGGGCAGGAGCAGACAGTCAAAATATTAAAGCTAAAAGCAGAAGCTACATACATGCACTTTTCTTGCAGACTGATTTTTATCTATGAAGAAGTGAATGGAACTCATCCCATCCCTGCTCCTCCAGGACAGCAGGCTTTATATTTGTATGTATGCCTCCCTTTCCTGGTCTGACTGTGAACCCTTCCAAAATTAACATCATTCAGCACCAGTAAATACCAACAGCAATTTTTTAAAACTTCCTTTTGACCTCATTTTAGTCCGTGTGAGATGATCAGCATATTTATTAACAAGGTCCCAAACCTGGCTCATTTCTCAGTTTCAGGATGGGATAAAGGAAGGAGCCTGCATTAAGTGGTGCCCAATGCTCGCCCTTTCCATTCAGTTAATTAAAAGCTGCACGTATATTAAAAGAACAATAGCTGCCTTTCAGCAGTTGTTTGCTTTTTAGTTCCCCTCTTTGGCAACAACAAAGTGCATTTTAGAGGGAACTGTCAGCTTTCAAACCCATTTGGGAGCTGGAAACAGGCACCAGGGGGGTTTGTGTGGAGCACAGCTCTGCCTTTGTCACCGGGGCTGGCACCCACAACTGGTGCGAGGCACAGAGCATCTCTACGGGACACCATGCAGGGAAACTGCCTGTGCTACAAGGGAAGGCCAGAAATAACCCACAGCTCCTACCAGCTCAAAGAATAACTGGAACCAGAAAAGGTCAATGAAATGAGTCAAAACAATGAATGACAGCGGAGCAAATTTTACAAATCCCCATTACATCACCCAGGGAAAACAAACCGCGCTCAGCCAGGAACCGCACGGGCCCGCGTGCCACCAGCCCTCCTTTTCATATTTTTATTGGTTTATGATCTGCTGGTGTGCATGCACTCAGGGCAGGGTTTGCAAAGGCAGATTGCATACCTGGAGCTTTAGCACATAATGGCACAAATGGCTGCAGAAACTGATAAGCCTTTTCCCAGACAAAGGGGGAAATAATGCATGTTGGTTTGAACGCCACGGGCAGACAGAAAGAATTAAAAAAGCCCCGTTCTCCTGGTGAAGATTTTCTGGAAAAGCCATGCAGAGCAAGTTTGCACATTCCTCTGTCTAAATGGACTGTATAGCCACTTAATTTTTATTCACTTTGAAACAGAGATGTTTTCTTTGGATACATTATCATTGTAGCTCTTTTCACACAGCATGAAATCCACGGCTGGCTTACTTGGCTGGAACACTCTGTCAAATACCTGAAACAGTAAGTGCCTGTGTGCATGCTATATAATGGCATGGAAATATTTATTACATTTTGTTCAGATGAAATGACTTCACCGCTTGTCAGCTCTGCCTCAAGGAGTGTGAGCAGAGATGTGAGCCTCAGGTCCAGGCTGGAATGTCACATTCCCTACCTGCCACATTCATTCCCCACGAGCTGCTGGCTGCAGCCCTGGCATCTTCGGGTGTGTGTGATACTTACTTTGTACAGGGAGAGAACAGCTCCTTGCAGGGGCTGTTTTCCAGTTTCTCCTCTGTCTGCTGGATAAGTTCTTGACTGACTTCGGGAACATAGGCTGGAGACTGGGGAGAGAAGAGAGGGGCACATTAAATCCCCGGCGAGGTGCAGGTTCTGCTCTCCCAACGTGTGAGAGGCACATTATTTATGCCCCCGAGCTGCTTCCATTCAATTCCAGCGGTTGTGTAAAAGCAAAGGAGCTTTACGTCAAAGAGCAGTAAAATAGGATACCGTGGCAACTCGCTCCACATTCCACTCTATCCTCACATTGCTTTTCTGCCTTCTCCGGTGCTTTCACCTCCTTGCCCAGCCTCATGAATATGCAGGACCCGCTCCTTGCCAATTCTTTGAACTGCTCCCTTGCATCCCATGAAAAATGTGCTGGCCTGAGCTGTGTACAGCCCATTCTATTAAACAAAAGAGAATTTGCCCAGTATTTTCACTTCATGGGTGATTCATTGTGCTGTCCGAAAAATCCATCTTTTTTTTCCCCTTTTTTTACCAGCAAAGCAAAACAAGAGCAGAGTATTGGTACTTATTGATATAGATTGACATCTATCTATATATTAAAAAGATGTTCACAAAAGTATCTGGACACTTTAGTTCATCCTTAGACAAAAATAATTCAGCAACTTTAAAATAATAATTTCAGAAAGGAACTTTGCCAACCAACCACATACACTCTTTTCATCTTCTCCTCCCTTTGGAGAGAATGTATATTCAACCCTGCAAACCTCACCAAAGTGAGGTCTCTTGCAAAATGCCTTGATGGTTAACCAGTTTAGGACTTTTGGGACTAATTATCGAAAAGGACAGATTTTTAGGCACTCCACATCCTTACACATTGACTGTATACTGTAATTATATTACAAAGTGTATATTGGGGGGGTGTGTGTGTGTATGCACCTACTCATAGGCATTTCTCCCATCTACATGAAAGTCCCTTTATGTAACCAATTGGATTTGGGTATTTTCAATAAACTCAGCCATAGAGGGTGAAATCCTCTTTCCTTGCAGAAGCCTTAATGCTCAGTAAGGTCCCCATCCATGCCCACAGCCACCAGATGTGCTGAGTGGGTGGGGCACAGAGCATCATCCCTCATTCCTGGCCAGATGTTCTCATTAACTCACCCCTAGTCAGAGATATCTCGGCAAGCCCTGAAATGCATTGCAGGCAGAGTTCAAAAACACTGGGAATGAGGACAGAGGAAGGGGCAGAGGTGGAGCCACAGAAAATCTCCAGCATGTTGAGAGCTGAATTAAGTCTTTTATCTTTCCCTTCCCACTACTGAAATGTGAATATGATCCCAGTTGTGACATGAAAAAGTAAGTTTGTTCCACTTGAATGTTTTTAAATGGGAACATGGTTTACAGAACTGTCTGTGCACTCTGTGCAATGCACTCTCACTGCCCAGCCTTGACAGACAATCTGCAGAACGTGCTGGGGACACCTCTGACCTCACTGAAATGTTTCCTCATTCCCTCAATATATTCCTCCATTTCCTCAGCAAAAGATATCTAGGGAACACTCACTTTTAATCACAGACAGAGTAGATTACTAATAATTACGAAGTCTCATGGTTTTTTGAGAGGTAGATCAGCCCCTCATGTCAACATCTAAAAGGTAGAGACTGAGACAAAGCCAGATTTTGTCAGCTTGACTGACCACTAAGGTAACTACATGTGCTCACAACAAAATCTAAGTCTCCCAGTTTTGGTTCAAGAGAGTGAGTAGAGGCAAGAGGGAAGCAATGAAACAAAAAAAACCTCCTGTTTTCCAGTCCTACAGCACTGAAACTACTGGGGGAAGACAGGGAAGCAGATTAAAGCAAAGGCTGTCAAAGCAATATTCAGATATGAACAAAAGCCTAATGACTAGCAGTATTTCAGCTGATTTTGGCCAGAAACCAGATGAATGAATACCTTTAATTTACAATTTATGCACTCAGTGGATACACATTTGCAGATACATCCTCACAGGTAGTCCAAGGTTGGTAGGTGGCTGTGTGAATCCAGTGGTTCAAACCCTGTTTCAAGATGATCATCCCTCTGATTTACAGGGAACAGAAACACCCCTGAACTCCACAGTTTTGGGGCTGCTGTGGACCAGGGGTGTTTTTGATGTGAATGGAGCAGCACTTCAGTAAAATCCATACCGGGGCCTCTAACTGAAGTTACTACTGACTACATCTGGAACTCGTTCTGCCTTTGGAGGTCAAAACAGGAATCCAAAAGCTAAGTACTAAACTGCATAATTAGTCATTTAGACCAAGTGACCTGATTCTTACTCATGCCAGGCAACTTCATCTCCCATTGGGAGTTCATTTCCCAGTGGAAGGTAAACTGCCTTGAGGTTAGTGTTGAAGATCATGCCCATGACACATTACTAGAGTACTAATCCCATCAGACTTTGTCTGAGATCAAAGTACACTTAAAAATAAATTATAAGCATCAGCTAACTCTTATTCATAAAGAGGAAATTAAATTCTTGTAGTGAAAGGGGGGGAAGAATGAGCAAAAGAAATAGTAAGTAAGACAATGTGGGAAGTATTTACAAATGACACAAACTGTGATTCCTCTCTCCAAGTTTGTGGGAGATACAGTCACCACTTGGTTTTTCAAAACCACTCATTGCTGACCTCTGAGTCTTTACTTTCTCTGCACAAACTTGAGCAAGGTAAAAATATCAAGGTGGGCAAAGACATGAACTCACTGAAATCCTGTGCATGGACTAAAGCCTTCGAGTGCAGTGCAAACACCTCCCTAGACCCCTCCATTTTCTGTAACAAGGAATAGAGGTTGTGTTGGTTTGTTTTTTTCTTTTTTTTCCAAAGGCTGATAATTTCCAAAGCTTCTGTAGACCCACCAAAACATTTTGTGCTGTTCTGCAGCCCTCCACAGAGTTCAGGGCACCACATGCCTGGGAAGAACATACCCAACCCTTCCCAACTGTGCCTGCAGCTCCAGGGAGCCCTTGTAGGACCCTTCCTGAGACTCTCCTTGAGACTTGCCAGTCCCCACTGCTCCCATTAAACAGCCATGGCTGCCACTTTCCCTGTGTGAATGCTGTGCATACCCACAGCCTTCAGAAGTTCAAACAAAGCCAGAAACAATTACAGCCCAAAACCCAACCCACCAACCTACTTCTGCTCCCCTGGAGAACCATTAGGTAGCACAGGTTATGAGTGCAAGGAAGCCTTTGGATCCCAAGAGTGAAAGCTTCCAAAGGTAACACTTGGGCCTTTTTACAGATGAAAAAGTTGCTCCTTCCCTGGAGAGGTGCAGAAGATTTCTGCAGCCACAATGAAATGGTTATTAACACCATTCTCCTGCTGCATTATGGGCAAGGGCTATAAAAGCAAATTTGGCTTTTACAAGGGAACAGAGACACCTTTTCCAACATATTAAATGTCCTGTGGCAGCTAGGAGAGCCATACACCGTGATTAAGGCCATTACATCTGAGCTTGTGACAAAGAATATTCTGCTAACTCTTGAGAAACACCTGCAGAAACCAGTTACACCTTCTTGCATTCAAAACAAAACACCGGGGAGTTACAAGCATAGTTAGTTCCACATTTCCCCTAATGGCTATTCTGTTTCCTGAAGGCAAAGAAGGAGACTCTTGATCTCACTTACAATAATGTAATCAGAAATTATGCCAGTCAAACCAACTGATTAACACTAGGGTAAAGCTGATGGAACTGAAACCAGATTCATGGCAGTACAAGATGTGCTGAAGTTGATCCTACAACAAAAATTTCTCTCATCATATTATCCTTATTGATCAGACCTTTTAATAATAGTCCAAAAGTCCACAGTACTTTTACCAGGTTTTAACCAAAATCTCCTACCTCCTGTACCTTCTCTTTAATGGCCAGAAACTGAAAACCGCTCTACAAATACTTTGCTGGCATAGCAATAGCTCTGTTTTATGATACTCTCCCATTTAATTTTTAAGAAAAGAAAAGAATGCAACTAGGAATCGTGTTAGTGGTTATTTGAGAAACAAGAAATGGATATTTCTTTCAGTTACTTCTGAGTGCCATTAGCCCACCCTGAGAAAAGTCTTCTTCTCTAAATTTTTTCTTTTTTTCTGTTTTTATAAAAGAGTTCCTCTCAGATGCTCTTCCCTTTCCATTAATGGCATGACATGTCACATACTTGCTCAGGGTTAGTTGTGTTCATGCCCACAAAGACTCTGGAAGCCAGCAGGGCCCTGTCCAGCAGCAGTATCTGGTGCTGCCCATGGCCTGGCACTCCACTGGAGTACTGAAGAGTAGCAAAGTCTGGTTCAGATCAGATGAAAACTTCCAGGCTCTGTGGCTCCCCATCATCTGTTATTGTGAATGTCATGTTGCGTCGCTACTCTTTAAAATGTGGCCTCTCCTTTTCTGACAGCTCTGTAAGTTTTGCTACAGGCCATTTCACCCAGATCTCCAAGACCCAGTCTTTGCTGAGTTCACTGAACAGCACAGCCGTCAAAAAACCTTCTCCTAAAGTCATCACTATGTGTTTGCCATGCCACTCACAGCACCTCTCAGTGCTTCCCTTGCGACTGTGTGGGGGAGATCCGACCTTGTGTGGATCTATCAGCAAATCAAACTCTTTATCAAACAAGCTGAAGTGCTGGCAGTACCAAGGGAGGCATTCAGAAGACCTTCTCTTTTACTTTTTCATGAAGATGTGTCATTTTTTCTGGCTTTTCTTATGAGATAAGATACATTTCCAAACATTTACTGTGCATGACCTCGGTCAAGACGTGGCGTGCTACAGGCGTCGCCTCCACGCCTGTGGGAGTGAAAGCAGGCAGCAAGCAAAGATTGGCACTTTCAAGGAACAGAAGCATTTTTCTGGCAGCCCAGCAGCTGGGGTTCACACTTGTGAAGCTGGGGTGAGGTGGGAAGCAGGTGTCCCCAGTTATTCCCAGAGCAGATGCACACACAACACAAACCTGCGTGGGCAGAGCTGGCTCATTGTGGGTAACACTGGTGTTCCTGTGGGAAAAGTGCCCAAATGACAAAGTGGACTGAGAGGGATGTGTTGAGGATCCAGCTAAAGACATGT